CGCGGGGTTTGGACGGCGCCGGAGCTAGGACGCGGCAGTGCTCGCGGGCGCCAGAGGACAGGACAGAGCATCGCGGCGGGTAAGCAAGCCGGCCCTGCAGCGAGGCGCTGCGGCTCCCCGGCTGCATGTTCATTAGGGAAATAACAAGAAATTGCCCGCATTCGGGCTCCCGCTTCGCGTGGGGAGACGCCCCGGGACAGGCGGCTGATGCCGAAGGGAGGGCGGCCCTGCGCAGCTCGAGCCCCAGGGACGGGAGGCACGGGGGGCACCCGTGACACGAGCTGTGCTGGAGCCAGCGCAGCACCCAAGCTCAGCCCCTCCCTGGGAGCGCTTGGCCACGCGGCCTGCGGAAGCTCCCGTGGGGCTCCTGCCCCCCCGATGCTGCTCCAACACCCTCCATCGGGATAAACGCCGGGCTGAGCCTATTAAAACGGGGCTCCCTTATTCACTTTTTGACCTGATTTGGCTCGGAGTCTGCTCAGGTTTGTCTCTGAGCGCTCAGGTGACCACACGAATGAGAAAGATCTTGCTGGGGACAGTCAGTACTTCTTAGAGCGAATAAAAAAGGTAAAATCTGGGGCAAAGATCTCCCCAGCAGGCAAAATTATAGAGAATAATAAAAAGCAGAAAGCAAGCAAACGTTCAGGGATTTATGAAGAGCAACTGTTAAGAGCAGAGCTGTGTCTGAACAGCATCTTCCTAATGAGTATAACTTGAGGAAAGCACAAGTCTCACATGAAATCCAATTAGAACATGAAAAAGGCTGCTGTTTTCTCTTGGAATAAACATTCCCACATCTTCCTCGCTCGGGGAGGATTCAAATTTGGGCCCAATTCACAGACTGCCATAAAAAAGGAAATTAAATGCCTGGGTAAAAAGCCTACATTAAAAGCAAACTCGGACAAAAATACTGTTTGAATTGTGTCCTGACATCCAAATGCATTCTGAGTAAAACACACCAGGCTAGTTCTACAGGATAGGGCTTAGCGGAGAAAACTGAAATTTGCTGTGCTAATTCTTCAGCGTCGACTGAGACAACTAGGTAAGGGGAGCAGAGACCAGAAGAGATGCTGAGGAGCTCTCCAAGTCCACGGAGCTGGGGTTTTCCAAGCAGACGCCATGCTTCTCGGGACAGGGGATCCGGCTGAGTACCCCGTGCTTCAGCTGGGGACCCTGGCTAAGGAGAAGGGCCATCAAGCTGGGCCCAGAAGTGGGCAGCAAACACCCTCTGGTCACTGCACAGACACAGGGCCCCCCCAGGAGTCCTCAGCCTCAAAGACAAAAGGAAAAGCCACGGACAGCAACATCCTGAGGATGAGGCTTCCTTGTGGAACAACACGGAAACGGGGGAAAAAAAGGCCAACAAGCAGCCCCAAGAGCAGCAGCGGGGCCCGACGCGTGTGCACCCTCATCCTTGCTCCCGTTGGGCACAACCCAAAGCTCTCGAAACCAAGCAAATTCTGAGGACAATCCGAAACACAGAAAAAATCATGGAAAGAAGATGACCAAACAAGAACATCTGGACAAAGCACCAGCCCAAAGGGAAACACAAAGCAGCTGCTGTGCACGAGTGCTGTTTAATACCTGCAGGAACTGCAAAGCGCTTTAAAGCTGAACTATAGATCAGATATTCAAAGCAAGTGGTTTCTGCTGGAAGGCAGATAAACCACGGCGTGCGTGTCCAGAAGCCGAGCCCAGCAGCGCCTAATGGGGCTTCCTCTGCTTCAATTCCATCAGAAGCATCTGATCCTCGGCCAGAAATGCTCTCGCGAGCGCAGGAAAATGCGTTTCCTGGGAAGCAGAATTTGCCGAGCTCCTGCTCAGATTTAACACGCCACCGTCGCACGCGGTGGCGCGAGCGGAGCGAGCACAGGGCCCGGCCGCATGGAGCCCGCAGGGACGCTGCGCAGCCGAGCGGGGCAGGTGCTGCCAGCACCCACCATTAACGAGGGAACACGGGGCAGACGCCCAGGGAGGGAACGGCAGCCCGGCAATTCTCTTATTCACACGGAAAAAGTCCCCCCTTCCCCAAAGAGAAGGATTAAAATATAGCATCATCTTCAAGTTAAGACCATGCAAACCAGTGATGTCAATCTACTCGGAATGAGAAAGGAATTAGAGGGAATTCTTTAGAGATCGGATTAGGGAGCTATTTGCATCCACCTGGTTGGCCGACATGAAACAGAAATCCCACCTGCTCCTTGGAGCTTTCCGGGAATGGTGCCCTAAGCCACCGGGGTGTCCTGCCATTGGAACTGGTCTCATTCCCAGCATTATCACACGCTCCAGGCAAACCAAGGCTGAGGCACTTGCCCCCTCCCCTTGCATCATGATCCCGAATCCTTCATCCCTTTCACTGCATCACGGCTCCCTGCCAACAGGGGACATGTACCCAACGTGAGCCTGGCTTCCTGGCACGTTCTGCAACACGAGAATGTGAAAAACTGGGCGAGGAAAGAGCTGGCATAAGGGTTTTCATATGCAGACCTCTCATTCTCCTGCTTAGCATGGCATTAACATTCCCGGGAAAACCCACGAGGAGAAAAAAGAGCCTGCCCAAATCGTTCCCTGCTATTTACCTCTTTTGGTGTGGTTTAACAGCAGAGAGCGGCCTGGAGGGTGCTGCGGCCAGAGACACGAGACGTGTGTCAGGAGAGAGTGAGCGGAGACATTCTTGAGGGAAAAGAAGTCATAAAAACTCTGCCACTGGAAGAAAATTCTGAAAATTTGGAGCTTCTTTTAAATGCAGAATAACCACTGGCATGTAACAATATCAAAAAAGAAAAAAAGGCAATTTTCCCAGAAACTCTAAAGACAAAAGGAGCCAGCCTGGTCCCTGGGGAAGCTGTCCCATGGTTAGCAGTGCTCGTGGGTAGCTGCTGGCTCCTCGCTTCCAAGAAGGAATTTATCTGGCCGCAGCCCCCAACCACTGGGCATCGCTCGACATTCGGACGCTTTATGCTCCCCTTATCGAACCCTGGTACCAGGAATCGCATCTCTTTTTCCTTCCTCTGCAAATGTCTGCTTGCTATCACTCCTTTAGAAAAAGAATAAACGAAACTCCTCCATAGCACTGAATTCTGAAACCTCTCACCGGGCAAAAAAAAATAGACAAAACCTCCTTGAGCACTGCAGCAGGGAAGCTGGTCTCCCTTTAAAGCTTGCCACAGACACAAGGCAGGCAGTGAATAGCTTCTTAAATATGTCCTTCTCCACCTTCACACGGCTCTGGTGCTTTAGAGCTTCTCAAAAATCGCCCCCCAAACCCACCTGAATTTTCCAGGACAAGCAGTGTTGGAGATAAGCTGCAAATAAGCAAGCGGGGAATATTCAAAACACGCTGCGAGATCTAGTGTGGAGAAAAGGTTTGCTGAATCCATGCAAATAGACATCCAAATTGGCCTACTGACCAGAGAGAAACTATGCAAAATGTCAGATGGATAGTGTCCTTCATTGAAAACTAAAGAGATAGAAAGGGCGGGGAAATTAGTAAAATAATAAATAAAAAAATATATATTTACAGGAAGCTAATCTCTGCCTTGACAGAGTAGTGTTTTCCAAAATTACCACGGGTTGCTAATATTGAATAGCAGGGCAAAATATTGAAGAGCTTCTTTAAACTGTTTTCCAAGGGCAGAAGGGGACAGAAAATTTCAGAAAGTGATGAAAATTAAACCAAACCCTTATGCTTTGGAACCTCTTACATAAGCTAGTAAGCTAGAACGTGTATACATTCCCAAGTCTTTAT